CTGCTGAAAAACCTTCTGACATATGGTTGACATGATTTCATGATGCAATATTGTACATAACAGGTGTTAATTGTGCGTAGAACTTGTCGGGTGCTATTTCTTCTGGCAATTCTTTAGGCTATTTCTCTTTTATTGGCTGGAACTACTTAAGCTTTTGTTCTGGAGCTGATGTCAAGGATAGGCCCATTTGGGCTTGGAGAAGTTTCAGGGTGTGACAGAAAGGCACAAAAAACCCCATCAGGTCAGGATGTCCCCTTGGATCTCTGGAGATTCCCAGTTGTGCAGCGACTTGGGAGCAAGAGCCCAAAGGTCACTGCTGAGGATAAACTCCAGTTGAAGGGACACTGCTCTGCTGGGAACACAGAAGACCTGTCAGTTTGAATGTTTCTCTTCCTCTGCTCATTTTCACAGCATCAAATGTATATTGTGATTCATTTTATTTATGATTTTTTAACTCTCTTGGCTCTAGTTACTCTCCAACTCCCCTTCCAGGGCATGGATGTCTTAGCACATCTTCTTCCAACCCTTGCTGGTTACTTTCCCTTATTTATTCTCCAGGTAAAAATGTCACAGAGCTCATGGTTTGTGACCTTTTGTGGTGGTCATTTTGATTTCAAGTACTTAGAACAAAAAGGGAAAGCAAGGAGGCTTCTACCCCAGATTGCATGATTGGTACGTTGACATGGAGATGGTTGGTAGAGATGGAGTAAGAGAGGAGGGGGGGGGGTGTAAATCTCACCTCTGTCCACCACTGAAGGTTCAGAGGGTGTCAGGATGTTCCTTCACACAGAGCAGTGTTGGAAGTCTTGATGGGCTGTTCATTTGCAGGTGGAGAGTGTTGGTTTTCCAGGCTTCCAGGCTGGCACCACGTGGGGTGCAGTAACTGTGGGGAAAAGGGGATTTAAGGGTGTTTGTGTGAAATGGGGAGATTCTTCAGAGGGAAAAAGATATGGGAAGATTTGGGGGGCTACTTTGGGCTGTCTGTGACATGTAACAAGGCCATGGGGAAGTACAGATACCCTTGTAGGTCAGCAAATCTTGCTAAAGCTTGAATTGAATGGGAATATTTCCACCTTGGAACAGCAAACAGAGAAATGAACCAGACTCTTTACATCTGAGGGAATAAAGCAACTTTTCCAGAGGAAGAATTCCCTTCCAAACCATGCCCTGAAATACCTTTTTTTGTACAACTGTGGTAGAGGCAGCACTAACCTGATGTTTAAGGAGCTTTATGCAGCCTCCCATGCTTGTAAAAGGCTGCAATAACCCAGCATCCTGTAATTCCACAGTCCTTTTCTTTAAAAAAATCATCTTCTTGCTCTTCCTCTATCTTGGCAGCAGGCAGAATTAATTGGATTAAACACTTACCATTCTCCAACTGATTAAATCAAAGCAAATCACTGAATAACCCTGGTAACTGGGTTGGAGCAGCACACAGAAGAGCCCAAAGGCTGGTCCCAGAATGGTTTAAATTTTTATCTGGTGTTTAATAAGATTTCTCTCTTTGTGCTCTTTTTTTTTTTCTCCAGCAATGGCAGATCTATTAATTTATTAACATAGCTGAGATGGCCAAGCAAATGGAAGATGCTTGATAGGAGTTATTATTATTATTCTCATCATTATGGCTTCATTTGGGTGGTGTTTTGTGACTGGAGACCTTGATCAGATCAGGATTGATAATGGGGAGGGTTGTGACAGAAATACAGTTCTCTGCTTAAAAGAGATTTCACTGGAAAAAGCAAAGCAGAACTGGCCCAGACAAGTAAGCAGGTGATTTAATATCAGAAGCTGGCAAAAAAAAACCACCCACCAAACCATCAGGAGCTTGTGCTGAGTTTGAATTAGAGACAGGGGATCTAATAAGAAAGGAGAGATTTATTTCTGGCTGCTCTTGTTTGCAAAGAAGCTTCTTTGCTTAAGGGAAAGGACATGACACCCTCAGTGACTTTGCAGATGACACCAGGCTGAGTGTTGATCTGCCTGGGGGTGGGAGGCTCTGCAGAGGGACCTGGACAGGCTGGAGGGATGGGCTGAGGACAATTGTGGGAGGTTCTCCAAGGCCAAGTGCTGGGTCCTGCCCTTGGGTCACACCAACCCCAGGCAACGCTCCAGGCTTGGGGAAGAGAGGCTGGAAAGTGCCCAGAGGAAAAGGACCTCAGGGCAGGGCTGGGCCCCCTGTGCTGGGCCCTGGGGAGGGGGCACCTGGAATCCTGGGGTCAGGTCTGGGCCCCTCAGGACAAGAAGGAGATGGAGGGGCTGGAGCGTGTCCAGAGAAGGGCAAGGGAGCTGGGGCAGGGTCTGGAGCACAAGGGTGAGGAGGAGCAGCTGAGGGAGCTGGGGGTGTCCAGGCTGGAGCAAAGGAGGCTGAGGGGAGACCTTCTGGCTCTGCAGCTGCCTGAGAGGAGGTTGGAGCCAGGGGGGTCGGGCTCTGCTCCCCAGGAACAAGGGATGGGACAAGAGGAAATGGGCTGCAGTGGTGCCAGGGGAGGCTGAGCTGGGATGTTGGGCAGCATTTCTTGCTGGCCAGGGTTGTCAGGCCCTGGCCCAGGCTGCCCAGGGCAGGGCTGGAGTCCCCATCCCTGGAGGGGTTTCCAAGTGTAGATGTGGTGCTGAGGGACATGGGGCAGGGGTGGCCTGGGCAGGATCAATGGTTGGGCTGGATGATCTTAAAGCTCTTTTCCAGCCAGAACAATCCAATGATTCTATGAGCTAAAGGAAACAAGCTTCTTGTCATGAGTTGCACATCATCTCCACACAGGTCTGTCACCCAGCAGGAAAACATCTCACAGTCCCCAAACTGAGCTCATCTCCCAACTCTTTGACAGTCTGTAGAACAAAGCCTAGGATTTTTAAGCTGTCAAACCTGAGGAAGTTTCTCCTCCTCCCTCTCTTGAGTCTGGAGGCTGCTTTGCTCTGCCTGCAAGTGAGAACAATCCAGCCCAGCCAGAGAGATCAACCATTCTGTCAGCCTGCATTTAGCTCAGCTGCTTCCAATTGCTCTGCTACTAAATGCTCATGAAAATGGGCTATAAATGCAACCTCAGCCTTCCCAGGAATTGTTGCTGAGCTCTACATCATCCCCCTGTGTCCCCTCTGCCTCGCTGGAGGATGAGGATGGATTGGGCCCTTGATGGGGAAGCAATATCTAGACTGAATGTTTCTTTTCAGGCTGGGCAGAGTGTTTCAAGTTGGGGTAATATATTCCATTTAGCAGCTTTTATCAGATGGGAAATGTGGTTGAAGTGGAAAGTAATTTTTGCCACCCCATGGGGCCTATTTATAAGGCTCACACTTGAGATGAGGAAGCCTTTGTTGGGTTGCCAGACCCTGGGACAGGCTTTCTGGAGGGGATGGTCAGTGCCCCAAGCCTGGCAGTGTTGAAGAGGCATTTGGACAATGCCCTGAACATCATCCTTTAAGCTCTGGGTCAGCCCTGAAGTGGTCAGGCAGTGGGGCTGGATGGTGGTGGTGGGTCCATTCCAGCTGGGAAGATTCTAATGGCATTCCAGTTGAATTCTACTCCCTTTCTATTTCTGTTCCCTTTCTAATTCTAATGCTATTCTAATTCTATGCTGGAATTGTCTCTTATTGTGCCAGTGAAGTTCACAACCACCTGAGAAAGCAGCTGGATGTGCAATGATCTCTCCCAGGGTAGAGGAGCTGCCTCCCACCCAACTGATGGGGCTGATGGGCAGACCCCCCCTCCTTCCCCCCAACCCTGTGAGTGAGATTCCCAAAGCACTGATGGCTCATGGAATGGATTAGCTTGGAAGGAACCTTAAACACCATCTAGTTCCACCAGGGACACCTCCCACCAGCCCAGGTTGCTCCAAGCCCCATCCAACCTGCCCTTCAACACTGCCAGGGATGGGGCAGCCACCCTTCAGTTCCAGTCCTGGCAGGTGCCCAGTTGCCCAGCTACAAACTGGTGAGGAGCAGAGCCTGTCTGGGACCTGAAGCCCAGCACTTGGCCTGCTTGGTGGTAGGAGCAGCTCACCCACTTTCCAAACAGAGAGACTAAGACCTAAGAATCTTGAATCACTGACCCAATGACTGATTGTTGAGACACTTCAAATGGACTGAAACGTTTGCAGAACATCCAAGGGAGATGGTGAGTCCATGAGTGTGATGAAGCCACCAGAGCTCAGCAGCAATGAGAAGAGAAGAAGAAGTTGAAGCTAAA